GGGGCATAGGAGCCGGTAGTATGATGGTAGCACACTGCGTTCGACTTTGAAGACAAGTAGTTCGACTCCCCACTCCCCCGGTCCAGCACAATTTTCGAAAAGGGCTTTATTTGCGACATTCGAGAGAACGAAAAGAAAGATAGAAGTACATGAATTTTGCAGACATCGAGACTTTGAATCAACATCAGTTTGAAATTCTCGAGCAATGCTTGTATTATTATTTGGCAGCAGAAGCACAACGAAAAGCACAGCATTTTAGTGCTATACAAGCTTTAGCTGCTTTTCCACCAAACTCCGAAGGGAAGGCAACGCGTGTAAAACTGCTTTTCCATCAAATTACTCTGCAACATTTCGTGATGGTAAGTACTAACACCAGATTTTTGTGAGCATATATTCCTTTGATATTTTGATTTTACGCACTTCGCAGTTAATAATACAGTAGTCAAACAAATTCCATTGCATCTATTGATAGTCAGATTGCTAGTGCTACTCTGCATATCGAAATCTAATAAAGCGGGATGCTAAAAAATTTTGCCTAACATTATTTCAACACTTCGTTTTTTGATTAAAAGACTTTGTTTTCGGGTCATTAAATTATAACACTGCACATTTTTTGGATAGTAAGAAAACTTCCTTTTCATCCCCTGTCAGATAGAGAAATAGTTTTTAATAATAGTTTCGAAGAAAGACTGTTTGGCTTGTTGTTAAATCAGAAGTAGTGGTATACTTGTTGACTGAACTGATTATTTCTTATCCAATTTTATCTTTACTGTCTGTCTTAGAATGAATTCCTGCGTGATTTGAGTATAAATGGATATATGGATGTGTCCTGGAATGACAGTCGGCTTACATGGGATGAAGAGCAATGGAAATTGAAGAAACTGGAAATACATTCAATCAGCCACCTGTGGGTACCAATGCTAACTGCACAGACGTAAGTACTCCTGCATCTGCACAAACTCATAACTTTCAAGTTGTCCCGGATACTGGCTTTAAGTACTAGTCAGGAACTTGCCTCATGTACACTCATGTACTATTTGTGCAGATTCAGAGCAAACAACCGCAGTGTTCGAGAAGAAAACTCTTTCGCGTATTTTCGGGACAAACTGTCTTTCAAAGCCCGAATAAATCCTGACTTACTGTAGTAGCCTACTGATTCACTGATGGTGCCTGAATAATCTCTTCATAACTACTGCGGAATTAGTTGTTTCGGAAAAAAGGATCTGCTTGAGGCTTGCTTATTTTCTTTTAAATTTTACAATCGAGGAGTCCATAAATTGGTTTGAGGTTTGAGACTGCGGTTCGAAACGGTGATCTGATGGAGATACGGCGTGTCACGGTACAGAGCAATGGCACTGTTCGCACTATTATCAATTTTTCGCTGCGGACGTTCTGCGAAGACTCCGATTTCAAAAACTTTCCCGATGATGTTTATAAGTGCTGTTACCAAATCGAACCGCACTTCAACCAGGTTATCAAATCCACGACTTTTCCACTCAGCATCAATGTCAGTAGTCGCCCTAGTCGAGAATGAAAGGAGCCTGACCAACCTCTCTTAGTGCAGTCAAATAGTGCTGGAACTGGCCAAAAGGAATAAAATTTCGGGAAGCAAAACGAGCGAATCCAAACGGATAAATATAAATATCTGCTGTTAACTAAACTCCCTAGTACAGAAATAATGTTAGTAGTAAAAGCTGATCTGAAACATTGGTCGTTTTATACAAAAGGTGTTTTTTTATACGGAATTTCTGGATTTTTAAAGAGCACATTATCCTTGTAAATATTAATGCACTTAAACGTACCATCGCATGCGCAGATTCGGATTGGGATTTTAGTCGACTATTCTGGTGTTTTAAAATACTTCTGTCGCAAGTAGAGGTGTAGGTATTCCATATTAGCGAAGTTGCTGATTCCATAATAGGACTTAGGTATGCCCCGTCGGTCAATTTCGAACTACATACTTCCAGTTAGTAGCCATAAGTGCATCACTTCTTCCGAGCCATTCAAATCGTCAATCACATTCCTGTGAATATATCATCCACTGTGTTAGAAAATCTCAAATTATTTTTGCATGCGCTTCAGCAGTTTATTTGCTGTGGTATAAAGCGTTCATAGCACGAAAAGTTCAAGCGTTGTTTTAGGATGCGATAGATTTTGAAACTGTCGGGCAACCTGTATTCACGGACCCGAAATATTTCCGCGATTACGGCTGGCTCATGTATGGCACTGTACCAACCGTCCAAATTGCTGATGATACGCAAATTTCACAGGTAAACTGAACCACTGATGCCTCTCTGGCTTTTTTGTGTTGTTAAAGCGAAGTTCTATCTGAGTGAGTGTGGTGCCATTCACTTATCTTGAGCAAACAGCGCTCTCTACTTTAGCTCGCTGATGCATTGGTCAGTAGCGCTATTCTCAGATTTAAGTCAGCAGTTTTGCTGCGCAACTGATTTGTTTCGACGGTAAATTAATACTTACGCAGACGAGGATGGTAAATTAATACCACAGGTTTTGAAAATATAGTTTGCCTGCTAGCAAAACTGTCACCCCACTAGTTTCTAATTATAACCTTATTGCACGAATATGTTCTTTCTGTAACTGCTTTCAAGCCTCGCTTACTTCAGCTCGGCTTTTGCATCAACTTGCAACGATCGACGAACTCGGTACGAATCGAGCTGTCGCTACCGAGCACCGTTACCTCCATATTATTCCTGCTGACGCCTTTGCTGGGTCAGATCCATCTACAGATTGCTGCAAAAATGTTCGTGCTCTTCCTACAGTTCCTCACTTTGCAGCTCTTCTCCGCCCGTATCGCACCGCATCTTGGCTCCGCTGCTGCAACGCCAAAAATACGTACGTATTTTAGCAAATCTCGCAGTTAACAATCAGTCTGGCTTTGTCAAATAAAAAGTACGAATTCGAATTTGCACTTGAGGGACTTTAAAAGCGTCAAACTTTTTTGGTATTTTTTATCATCCTTAACAGGGAAATCGATGGGGTTGTGCGATATGGGCTAAATTACCTGCCTTCTCCCTATCCAGCTCTTTCCCGATCTCACAGTCTTTCTAAAATTCTTCCTCTCCTCCCTATTCACCTTCAACCTCTGGAAAATTTTTGTGCTAAAACAGTTTTCAACATCAGCCACGAAACGGCAATCATCTTAGAAAAAAAGGCTGCAATAACCTCAAAATTCAATTCACTAAGCATTCTTTTATCTCTAAATCGCAACGAAATTATAAAATTATTCAGCTGCTCTTGATTTTAGTCGAAGTGTTTTCGAACTGGAATTGACGCAATAAAACAGACTTTGAGCGTTCGGTGGTGATTTTTCCCATAATATTTCTTGAGATATCGACTTCTAAAGGGACAGAATTTCTATAAAATACCGGTTCTGAAAGGGAACAAGTGAAGTTTGGTCACAGTTCCAGAAATTGAAAACTAGTTCCAAGACAACTATGCTTACTGTGGTAACTGGAAATCGGAAGGAGTTCCTGACTTTTTCCGTTCTGCCATAAGATCAACCAGGACCTGCATTTGCATTTAAGACCAAAATCTTGAAGTATGGTATTGGTTTTTGTCCAGTATACCTTCAGGAACCACCAGTCCAAAATCCAGATTTATGGCTTTACCATGCTGATGTCGATTAATCCGAAAAATGCAGAAAGATTCACGAACAAAGTTGAACCAGGCAAAAAAACCGAAAATATACAAAATCTTTTCTAAAGGGGAACCCAGGCTGGAATGCGTAAGACTTACCCGTGCGATCATGCTTTTTTCCATCAGACATGAAATACTCAAGTCGTTAAGCGCGTGAACTATTGTTGCTTTTCGCCTCCTACCTTTTGCATTCCCCAACGTAAATCATCGTAAACTTTGCATAAAGGAAATGAACTATTTTCGTTTAACGGTTGCTCTTTGAAAATGGTCTAGCTGTTCAGTGAGTTTTCTCGCCAAAAGTTTTAAACCCTTAAGTGAAAAACACATATACCTGGAGCTGAATTTGAAATATTTAATTTGAATTTGGGCAGTGAACGTTGCCCTAAAATTTCAGCCTTCTAGCTTTTCTGGTTGCCGAGTTAGGAATTTTTCCCACAAAACTTTCACGTACCTATACATGAGAACACGCATACCTAGAGGCTGAATTTGAAATCTTTAGCTTAAACATGCACAGAGAACATCTGTGCACAGTTTCGGCTTTTTATCTCGTCCGGTCCCCGAGGTCGTTTTCCCGCCAAAAAATTTGCATGTTTTTTAAGGGTCCGTACACGGCACTAGGCGTACGTGAGTGACGGTATTAAAACATGAAGAAGGTGCATTATGTGGGTATCATAGTCCTGAAGTTTCAACCTTCTTGCTTTACTGATTCTCGAGTTGAAAGTGGATGACAAAAAGTGCGAACACACAGACAAACACACAGACAGTATCTTGCCAATATGCATTTCTGCATTTGCGTATATGCAAAAACGCATATAAATAATAACAAATTAAGAGCGCCTCAAATTAAAACGCTTAACTGAAATTAAAGGAGCGATCTTGAAAATTCTGCTAGCTGTTCATTCAGAAGCCCAAAATCCGCTGAGGCACATGTATTCACCGCCTTTCTAACAGTGTATGGGTGAGTTCATGCAATAATAACTAATTAGGTAAACGGTGTCCTGACGCTGCTTCTGACTAATGAAAATTAACAACAAACAATTACAGTGCGGTTTCTGGAGTTTGCAGTAGTACTCAATACTCTTAGCATTTGTGTATCGATGGTGTTATGGATGTGCTGCAAAATCCGCCGAAATTTGCCGCCATGGAATTGGCTGATCAGGTAAGTTCACCTCACGTGCATGTACTGTTTCATGTTTATGGTTTAATCAATTTTTTCGCAAGTTTTCGCGTCTCTTCTTAAGCTCACAACTCCTCCACAGCTGCTGACCAAATCAAAATTCCTTGTGGCCAGTTTGTTGAAGATTCTGGCTTTTTGTCCTCCATCCTTCAGAGAAAAATGCTGTATGCATCAGTATCTCTCAGCTGTAACCTTCCATCATTCCTCTCCACATGTCATCACTCATCCATAAGACATTAATTTCGAAGGGAGTGGTACTCCGGATGTGTATTCTTCGGACCTACGTTCTTGCTGTCACTTGGCCCACATTCACTTGTTTGGTCATTCTAAGTCAAATCATTAGTCATGTAGCGAGCTAAGTGTTGTGGTGCTTTACGCAACAGCAGGTCTAGAAATCACAAACGAGTTGATGCAAACACCCCTTATGGTCTCGGCTACATGCCATACGTAGAATTGTTTTTTGGGAACTGAAATTTTGCAGGACATCAGAGGTGATCAATAGGTGCATATGCATATTCAACACAACGGACAGTTGCACATCACTGCACGAGAAAGCATCCTCGACGACAAGCTGCTATCAGGAAGACTGGAACAATGCGTTTATTGCAATACACGGTGTTGCCGTTAGCACACTCTCCTTTATTTTCATCTTTGGCTATTTGTTATTCTTATAGAATTTAATTCTTTACACATGCTAAGCCGAAAGGACTGAAAATTGTGAAGGCCAATACATCGGTTTTTGCAGGCTTTCTGCGTACTACCAAGCGTTGGAAGGGTCTCCACCACGTATGGAATAAAAGGCAAAGGGGTAAAAAGGGATTTTTTTTTAAAATGGCAGAAAAAAAAGTGAGGAGCAGGAACTAACCATGACGGTGTATAAAAATTCTAACAAATATTAATTATTGGTGGTGGTATGGCTCTTATAAGAAATTTTAACTCAAATATTTGTAAATAAACACGATAATAATTTTGCAAATTTAAATATGTGTAAAGGAACATAGCAAAGATTTTGTATTTATACGTATATATACAAATTTTTCATATGTACATAAATTCGTCTTGTATCGGATGATTCTATTATACTTACTGCAGTTGCTAGTTTTTCTACACAAAACTTATTATATGTGTAATAAGTTTAATATATATACATATATACATATAATATTACATACAATATTATATGCACAATATTTGCTCCGAACAGATGGAGATCCTGATAACGAAGAAAGAGCATTACTCCTATATACATTTTAGTGCATTCATTGGTTAACGTGCCTGAGGGCATAATTGTGCCATCATCCCGGTGCGCACTGCTATTTATTTTCACTTAAAAGTTTATCTATACGTTTCTGTTATTGGGCGCACCATAAAAAGAGCATTGTGTTTACAAATGCATGTGCCTTAGCTCTCTAGAAGCATTCGAATGTGCTGCCCCATGAAACCGAGTAACTGTGATAGATCCTCCTCGTATATGTGTAAATAAATTGTTTCACTCAGTGGCTGTTTTATGGCATTCATTTGGAAGTCATCACTACAGCGTGCTAATTCTAAAGTAATAATAATAACAACAACAAAATTAGTAATGAAAAAATAATATTGAGAAAATAATATTTCTATTATAGAGTGAAATAATATTAATAGTAGTGGTAGCAAAACAACAGTAATAGAAGTTGAAGATAATTACAATTATCAAAAAGCATAAATGTGAAATATTAACAGAATAAACGGTATTCACGAGGGCATTATGATTATAATTATAAAAATAGTGCGCTAAAATCCCGCATTTTCGCAAATCTTTGAAAGCGCACTAGCAGTTCTTTTTTTTTAAATAGAATGTGGAGCCCGTGGAAGTCTGAGTCAGTCCACGGCGAACTCTGTCTGAAGTTTATAGTTTATAAATGCCCTAAGTTTTTTAAGATAAATATTAATCGAACCGAGTTAAATTAAAATTGGGATGAATTGCTCGTACCTCAAAAAACACAAAATTTCTGAAATACGCGCTTTCATTCAATTATGCTTTATAAGGGCAGTCTTTCTTGAATTGGTTATTTTTACTTTGTATTAGCGATTCTTCACACCATGCGCACCACTCTTCTGAAAGATTTCTTTACCTGTTCTTCATTAGAGCAGCTATAATCAGCATTATTTTTTTAGCAGTTATAATTCTTTTACACGCAATATGAGCTGGCCACCAGCAATGCTAAAGACCGGTTCCAGTTGCGAGGATAACATGCAGACCACGCAGAAAATCATAAAGAGATTTTTTGAAATTCTCCGCTCCACTGACCATTTTGTTACCACAGCCAGTATTTTTCATCCAGTTGCGTCACTGAACATATTCATATGTCACTGCTTTCAAAACTGTACACTGTTTCAACGTTCTCATCTTCTTGCCAATCACCACTTCAGGTGCCTCACTATGAATTATGGAGCAGAAATTCTTACTTTTTATTTTACACTTTACGCGTAGTTTTTATTTTACACCTTCCGCTCGATTACGTTTTGAAGTGAGGAAGAACATGGACTGAAAATATGCACATACATTCATATGTAAATATACGCAAGAGAAATCTTCATCTTGGCGCCACAGTTTCGCTCCCCTCCACTGCTTACTGCTCCTCTAGTTGCTTTCTGCTTCTCTAAGTGTTATGTAGCCATATCCGGACATTTATCCAAAAATACTTTTCTGACTTAGTCTTTTATTACAAATATATATTTTTGACTATATATTCACATATAAAATCAAAAAATTCCTCCGCAATCGCTGTCAGAGAGAGGCGGAGGCACTAGAGAAGTAGTCTAAGCGGTAGCGAACGCCACCAACAACTCACTGATACGGTAGTCGCTGCTTTCGTCTTTTGCGATGTGTTTACAAACAAGCCTACTTTTGCTTTAATGCATACATACATATATATGTGTTTTATATATATGTATTTATATGTATATTTTAATACTTTAATTATGAAAGACAAAAGATAAACAAAACAATCCGTCCAAGATCATCACTTAACTCATAATATCTTTAGACTTTGTAAACACTACAAATCTTAAACATGCACAAGGATTTCCGCTTACGACGAGCAATACCTAGTTTTACAACTCTTCAAATGGGTGCTCGTGGGCTCTAGCGTTATCAGGGGATGGGAGCGCTTACGCTGCGGCTCTGACAAAGTTCTATTGCAGTTCGCTAAAAGTAACGATTCGCTGCAAACATACAAATTTCATTAGTTTGCACACAATCACACTAACAACAAGAACCTCGCTTGAACTGAAACGGAATCACAAAGACAGCGGAGCAATATTATCAGCAGCTTATCAAATACCCTATCCCCATTAACCATTGCCTTCTCCCAGTTCTTCCTGGCCATTTCTCTGCTCCTTCCTCGTTACTGTACCAGCAGAGCGTTGACGAAAACAGTAAAT